CCTGTGGGAAGAAAATGTTAGTATGGTGAAAATCCCTAATGGATTATATCCAGTCCATGTTAGATGGGATTTGCTTGATTGAAGATCTAGGTTGAAATCCTCAACTTGATTGAAGTCAGTACCCGAAGTTCTGGTCGGAGTGTCAGTTGAAATGGAGCAAGTTGTATCCAGTGCAGTCCAGAAGGTATGGCCCAATTTCCTTCCGGAGTGTCCAGGGATTGCTGTCAGGCAGGTCTTCATTGGCTGTGTCAGGTGAGGCCAGGCACACCTCACCTGTCTTAGGAGGAGTGGTTACGGTGTCTCCCTACAATCCCTGTCTGCCCTTTATGTCATGTTTGTAAACCCTGGACTGAGCCATTGTGACAGATCTGTGTCTTACCCATTGTTTTCCAAACAGCCCAGTGTGTGGGGTGGACGTGTGCCCATTGGATGTTTGTTGACTGATGAATGAATGAAGATCTTTATAAATTCTGCCCCTCTTTGAGAGAGAATTCAGACTTGCTGGGTGGTTGCTAACGAGTCTGTTCAGCCTGGTGGTTCTGTGTAGTCTGCAGGTGCGTAACAGTCCCACACAGCAAAAGATATAAACTGGACTGACATTTTCAGAGACTATTTTGACAGTAAAATATACCTTTGGAAGATGAACTCAGTGAGAGAAAGAAGAGAGTTGGAGCTGATGAGGTGGTTCAGTGGGCAGAGGCGCTGGCACACGGCTCTGACAATCCCAAATTCAATCCTAGAGTCCTCCAAGGAGGTGAGACAGAACTGATTTCCTGGGTTCTTCCTTGCCCTATACACATGCCAATGATAGTAATAGTAATCCTATTACTATTATTAGTAATTAGAGGAAAGAGGAACAAGGAGATTTGAAGAGTGTGGTAGGTTTTAGACACACATAAGCTGTTAGGTTTGGAAGGTTTTTTTTTTAAATTCTATATACATTACATACATAAAAGACAGCATTATATCATCTTTGGAATGGTTACTGCCTGTGATTCTATATGATGTCTGAAAACAGTAGTTTCTTGCAGCTGGTCTTGACACCCATTAAAGAAAGCCTCTGTAATAGATTTTTTTTTTTTAAATTCTATATACATTACATACATAAAAGATGTAATGTTGTCTTTGGAATGGTTACTGCCTGTGATTCTATATGATGTCTGAAAATAGTAGTTTCTTGCAGCTGGTCTTGACATCCATTAAAGAAAGCCTCTGTAATAGACGTGTATGGCTCTCTCTGAATCTGTGTAACAATGGCTTTTCTATGCCATTGGTATCAGATGGCTAAGAAGCGATTTTAATGTTCTGTTAGGTTTAAAATGGGGGATGGATTTAGGTCTCCATTGTTGAAGCTGTGAAGCAGCCATCCAGATATGGGGTCTGGCTGCTTCTGTGCTGAGAAATAGAAGAAGGGCACATGGAAAGAAGGCAGAGAGGCAGGCTCACCTCACAGCCACACATCTGGACCCAGCTCCCTCCTCCACTCTCTGATCTGGGCACTTCTGTCCCCTGCAGAATGAATTAGCTTGACATTTTATCAGCTTTTTGGAAAGTGGGGTGAAGCGATGTGGAACACATCAGAGTGGTGAAGCCGAGCAGATCAGAAAGAGAGCAGACTATTTCATCTCATCTGCTAGGAGTGCTTCCTGCCTTCTCGGGGAGCCAGCAGAGGCTAAATGGATGTCTGCTCAGTTTCGGTTCATCTCGCTGCCTCCGCAGAACGCTGATAGGAGTATGGCCAGTCACTTTCAGTATCGCACCCAGCCGTCAGTTTCTCATAACTGTGCCAAACCAGGACTCTATGTGACTTCCCATAAGAACTTCAAGTGGACTTCTTACATATTTTCTATATACATCACTGCTCCATTGAACACCTGTAAGATTTGATTCTTGATTTTCATAATTATTAGTGAAATATGGCTAGAAGGAAAGAATCAAAACTACTCTTTTGGTAACTTAATAAAAATGATTGATATAGAGTATCAATTGCAAGTAGGTTTGTGTGGTGCTGTTCATATGTGTTTATGGTTGGGGAAATGACCTGTAAATCACAACTTTCTTTGTATTTTATGTCACTTCAGAAAATAACTTCAAGTTTTCCCATGAGAAATAAATTGAGGTTTAAAAGGGAGAATTTTTAACCGATTAGTATTCCATTGAGATTGGATTATGTACAGCTAATAATTATTTTTGGATGTCTTCCAGAGACAGATGGGGCTGTCTTTAGAATTCACACGACAGCTGAAGGACTGGTGGGCGAGGATGTGCCCTTAGAGCTGGTGTTCCATTTACCAGCCGGTTACCCTTTGTGTCCACCCAGCATCTCAGTTAGCTCCACACATCTGACCAGGGCCCAGTGTGTTACTGTGAAGGAGAAGTTACTCGAAGAAGCCAGGAAGCTATTATCAGAACCAATGATTCACGAGCTGGTTCTTTGGATTCAACAGAATCTCAGACACGTGCTCAGCCAACCAGAGGCTGCAAGCAGCAGTGAGAAGGGCACTTGGCCAGAAAGTGCAACTGATGACGGATTGTGGCTAACGCTTTTGCATTTAGATCACATGAGAGCAAGGACTAAATATGTCAAAACTGTGGAGAAGTGGGCTTCTGAGTTAAGGCTGACAGGAAGATTGATGTTCATGGGCAAAACAATACTCATCTTACTGCAAGGAGACAGAAGCAACATCAAGGTGCTCAAAAATTTAATGTAGAATAGGAATCTGCCTACTTTCTGCTACACATGGTGTATCTTTAAGTGTGTTTTATACCAATGGGATAGAGGAAGCATGGTGTTTGTGCTTACCCTATGATCATGTTAAATGGTACTTTGGTGTGTTTTTTTAATTCTTTAATTTTTATTTATTTATGTGTATGGGTAATTTGTCTGCATGCTTGTCTGTACACCATTTGTGTGTCTGCTGCTCACAGAGGACAGAAGAAGAAGGTATTGGACTCCCTAGGATTGAAGCTGCAAATGGCTGTGAGCTGTCATGTGGGAGCTGGGAATCGAACCCAGGTCCTCTGGAAGAGCAGCCATGCTCTTAACCACTGAGCCATTTCTCTAGCCATCCCTCAGTTCTTTGTAAAGATGAATGTCTAGTTCCTACAGTAACTATAAACTGCAAAGTAAGTATAAGATTATAAACATTATATTGTAAATGTTATGGCACTTAAGGTGGTAGTTTTGAACAATATTTATTTGTATTTTTTTATGTGTATGTGTGTTTTGCCTGCATCTATGCCTGTGCACCATGTAGGTGCAGTGCCAGAGGAAGCCAGAAGAGGGTGTAGGATCCCTTGGAACTGGAATCGCAGGCAGCTATTAGCTGCCAATTGAGTACTGGGAATCAATCAAACCCAGGTCCTCTGAAAGAGCACCGAGTGCTCTTAACCTCTGAGCCATCTCCAGCACCAGCACCAGTTTTTGAAAAAGTCCCATGACATGTATTTGTTTTGTATTAATGATAAACTGCAACTGTATAAATGAGCACTAAAAGCTTGCACATATTAATTTTTCCATAGCTCAGCACAGCAAGGAGTATGTTTGGGAGTAGCCTGCAAAATTCCTAACTTGCAGGCACTTAAAAGTGCATCCTGACACTTGAGTGCTGCCTCTGTAGTGCCCGAAAGGAAGGTTTGTCCCTTACAGGGGAGCCAGGCTCAGAAGAAGCAGGGTCGTTAGGACTGTCAGCTCATCACCTCCTTACCAACGTCTTTCCACCTGACTTGTCTCAGCAGTTGCTTTCAAGGCCGTCATCCTAAAGCCCCCTAGCCTGCGTTATGAGGAGCTAGACAAGGAAACCTGCTTATTATGTTTTAAACCTTAAAAGAACTGCAGATCATGTAGTAAGTGTTACACTTCCAGATAGGATGGGCCAGGCACAGTCACAGAAGGTTTTATTTAAAACAGATTTAGCATCAACAGCCTGTGCTCTTAGAGCTTCACCGAATAACAGCCCGGAGTTTTTCCAAGGTGGGTTCATACCACAAACCTCCTTTGACATTTGTTTAACCAGGTCAATGCTAGGTTCTGGTGTAGATAGAGAAGGAAGCCAGACTTAATCTATAGCATGCAGTGGGGCCTAGCCAAGGAACCCCAGATTTTGAGGCAATCTGTATATCTCTACTTTGCTCCTTTAGGGTAACATACTAGATGACGAAAATGGGTCCAGGTTCCTTGCTCACATTTGCCTAAGGCTCTGGTTGTCTGGGACCAACTAGGGCACATTAGGATAAATACGGTGCTTTCCAGTTGCCATCCAGATGGAATCGTGAATTACTAACATGTATTTATTTGTTCTTACCACTACAGTTCCACTAGTTCAGAGAATCTTTTCTTTGATTTCTCTAAAATGTCATTTTACATGACTTTCTCTATTAAAAGTTTTTATAAGATTGTGTGCTGGGATCAGGAATGTGCAGGTGCATTTATAGGTGGACAGGAGGAGGTGTGTGCCTGATGGCCCCATTCTGGCTAGCTTGGCAATAACAATGTTGCCATTACTATGCCGTGTTCCATGCTCTGAAAGGCAGTCATTCCTGGAGATGCTCTGTGCCTGTTGTCCCAGCTTCACCATGAGGTGACCCTGTTGTAAGTCCAGTTGTGTGGAGTCAGTTATCTAAGGCACAGAGCTTAAATGACTAGTTTGAGTGACTGCTTTAAACAGTTGAGGGTTTAAATAACCCACTCTGGTAGCCGTGCAGTCCAGATTTAAAGGCGGCCACTTCGTTATTACTGCTCTTTACACCTGCATTCCGTGGAGCAGTGTTGGCCACCTATGTGAAGACCATGTAAGTCTTACTGCTCCATTCTTAGAATGCTCTTTAAGCAGCAAGATGCTTGTGGGTATGGCTCCTCTAGAACAGGACTGTGCCGTTCAGCCTGAACTCTGCACTTAACATGCCGATTATCCTTTAGGAGTACCTGGTTCTTCAGAAAACCTCCAAAGTAGATGTGGACTCAAGTGGAAAGAAATGCAAAGAGAAAATGATTAGTGTACTGTCTGAAACAAAAGTACCAACGGAACACAAAAGGTATAATTTAGTACCATTGCAGATGCAAAAGCAACTGAATGGGTAATTATCCTCTGACAAATCTCCACATATTCATGAGCTTCTCTTGTATAATGCAGGTTTCTGGCATTCGAAGTCAAAGAGTATTCAACATTGGAGGAGTTACAAAAGGAATTTGAAACTGCAGGACTTCAGGGGCTCTTCTCAGAATGTGTGCTTGGGCTGGTAAAATGAAGTGAATGACAGGAGCCGTTGGTAAAGCAGCCGCTTTGTTGTTGAGTTTCCTCTGCCTTTGGGGAGGGGCTCATTGAAGTAATCATAAGAGAGCAATTTAAAGTTTCTCTGTAGCAAAATTGTTCCCATTCCCCGAAGAAAGCGAGTTCTGTTTTATAGGATGTTAAACATGAAAAGACCCTATGTATTCTAATGTTTGCTGGAAAAGACTGGGTTCAATGGATGGATTATCTGAAGGAGAAATAAAAAAATCTCGACAGTAAATGAGCTGTTGTTTTTATATAGACAATTTGTTTAGAAGTCTGCAATTTTCAGACTAATTTTCTTGTAATTAAATGATTTCTTAAAGTGGTTTGTTTTCATGTTTACTTTCTCATGTTTACGTTTTTGGCATTTAATCATGATTCCTCCCCATTCCGCTTATTATGTCTAATGTTTTAAGTTGAATGTTGGGAAAAAAATCTAACACCAATTTCTTAGTGCAGTTGTATAAATCACTGGATTAAATACAAAACCAAGAAGTTTTACAGAACCCAGTTACTTCTTAAGGTTCCAGGGTGACATGGTACTACTAGCTGTAAGACTACATAGTAAGTTTAAGTTAAAATTCTTATTTGAAAAAAAACATAATTTCTGGTTTTACAAAGGAAATGTGTTCAACAACGTGAACCTGGTTTTCTGGATAGGAAAACCAAACCAAACCACAAAAAACGACAGCTGTTAATTGTGAAACCTTTCAAATAATGATAAAATACACTTATTAAGACTAAGAGGAGGTAAACTTACAAAATAATTATTTGTATTAAAATTTATAATGAAAAGTAAGAGGGCCCCTGGATCTGAGAAGGATATTTATGTACATGAAGTCACCTGAGCTTCTAGAGGAAGAGGCAGGGATGTGGAAGAAAGGTGAGGAAAACCCCTCTCTCTGCAGCCTGTGGAGAGAGGTGCCACTGTAGTGCTGCAGTTGGTGACTCGGGAACCGAGCACAAGTGCTTGCATGCATGTAGGAGCATGTGTGCACTTGCCCCATGCATGGAGGCCAGAGGTCAATGTTGTATGGCATCCTCAATTCTCTATTCTTTCTTTTTTATTTTTCAAGACAGGGTTTCTCTGTGTATTCCCTGGCTGTCTTGGAACTCACTCTGTAGACCAGGCTGGTCTCAAATTCAGAGATCTGTCAGCATCTACCTCCTGAGTTCTGGGATTAAAGGCATGCACCACCACTAACTGGCTGTTATTTTATTCTTAGTTAGAAAAAAAATGGTGTAATTTTACTTTTTGTGTATGGGTGTTTTGCCTGCCTGTATGCCTGTGTGCCACATGTATGCACTGCCTAAGGAGGCCAAAAGAGGGTTGGATCCTCTGGAACTGGAGTTACAGGGATTGTGGGGCCTAGAAACAGATCCCGGGTCCTCCAGAAGAACAGCTAGTGCTCTTAACCAGTGACCTATCTCTAGCTCTTCTTAACTTTTTGAGACAGAGTTTCTCTCTGAACTTGGAGCTCACTGTTTTGCTTGGCTGGCTGACCAGCAAGGCCCTGCTCTGGGGTTACGGGCATATGACACTGCCAGGCTTTTCATGAGTATTAGGGATTTGAGTCAGGCTGTCATATTTGCAAAACACGCACTTTACCCAGCGAGTCCCCTCCCTGGCACTGTAAGGAATGTTTCTTGCCATTGCTCTTGTAGGACCATGATGCTCTTCTTCTTCTTCCCCCGACTTACCCTCCCACCCCATCCACCTTTCATTCCCCGAAGTCCACCACATCATCCTAGGCCGGGCCTAGGCCCTCCCCCCATGTGTCCAGGCCAAGAGTGCATCCCTTCACATGGGATAGGCTCTCAAAGTCCCTTCTTATACCTGGGAAAAATACTAATCCACCACCAGAGGCTCCCTGGAGCGCAGAGGCCTCCTTATTGACATCCATGTTCAGGGGTCTGGATCAGTCTTGTACTGGCCTTCCAGACAGCATCTGGGGTCGATGTGCTCTCCCTTGTTCAGGCCAATTGTTCCTGTGGGTTTCTCCAACCTGGTACAGACCCCTTCGCTCTTCATTCCTCCCTCTCTTCAACTAAATTCCAGATTTCAGCTCAGTGTATATCTGTGGATGTCTGTCTCTGCTTCCTTCAGCCACTGGATGAGGGCTCTAGGATGGCATAAAGAGTAGTCATCAATCTCATTTTATCAGTTGAGGGGTATCTAGGTTGCTTCCAGGTTCTGGCTATTACAAACAATGCTGCTATGAACATGGTTGAACATATGTCCTTGTTGTATGAACATGCACTATTTGGGTATATACCCAAGAGAGGAATGGCTGCATGATGCTCTTCTTCGTTAGGGTTTTTATTGCTGTGAGGAGACACCATGGTCACAGCAACTCATAAGGAAAACATTTAATTGAAGGTGGTTTACTTATAGTTTCAGAGGGCCAGACCGTTATGTTCATGATAGGGAACATGGCAGTGTGGAGCTGGAGCAGAGGGTACTACATCTTGTGGACAACAGAAAGTCTACTGACTGTTACACTGAGAAAGGTTGGGAAAGAGTCTTCCAATTGCACCTGCACAGGGACACTTCCTCCAACAAGGTCTACCTCCTAGTAGTGTCACTCCCTTTGGGGTTCATTTTCTTTCAAACCACCATAGTGGTTCAGTGTGAGTCTTACTTTATTTTTATTTATTTTTGTTTTAATTTTTTTCTTTTTTTAATTTAAGTGAGAAACAGGCTTCTTTTACTTGTCAATCTCAGTTCCTTCTCCCTTCCCTCCTCCCCTGTCCCCCACCGACCCCCTATTTCTTAACTTACTTTAATTACACTGTGTTTACCCAGTGATTGTCTTATGGACCTCTGTTAACCAGCGTTGATTTTCAGTTTCTTAAGTCATGCGCTAAGGTGTTTTAGTTTTTTCTCAAATAACTGACAAATGTAGTTAGACTGTCCCAGGGGAAGGACACATGTGACAAATTGGATACCAAATTGAGAAAGGACTCTTATTTAGGGCTGGGCATTATTAACCTTTTGCTTGATTTACTGTGATTCTAGTGAAAATTAAAATAGGGCAGAAATCAGAACTGAGAGTTCTGTGTACATGGTTGAGCTGAACTGGAAGGGATTGTAATGCAACAACATTAAAGGTCATTGTCATCAGGATCTTAGCCTCAACAGCAGGAGGTTCAGCTTGAGCTTATCACAGCAGAACTTCTGGTCCTCTTCCGTGACTCTTCTAGGCTGAAATGCCACCTGTCCCATGCTCTATGGCACATTGTCAAAATTTTATCTTCAAGGTTCACTCTGTACCCCTGAGAAAGGGACTTGGGCAACAGTGCTCTTTCCACTTCATTATGTTTCTGTCTGTTAAAGTTATGCAAACAGTATTAGTTAATACTTTCTTATATATTTATGTCGAAGTCTTTTCACAAATACATCTACAGCCAGAATGGAACATGACATTTTGACAGTGTTTGAGAAATTAAACTTGACCTTGGGATAAAAGCAAGTTTTAACCAAGAAGCTCTAAGATTCTCTTTGATTTTCTTTTAAAAACTTATGTATGTATGTATGTATGTGGGTGGGTGGGTATACTGGTGCTAAAATGTGCAAGTGAAGTCAGAGGACAGCTTGCAGAGGTCAGCTGCTCACCTCCATAGTGAGGGTCATGGGAATGAAACTCATGCAGTTAGGACTGATGGCAAGAACCTTCACTTGCTATGTCATCCTGATGTCTTTAGTATTGCTGTAGAGCAGTGGCTCTCAACTTGTGGGTCACCACCCCAACAAACCTCTGTCTCCAAAAATATTTATATTACAATTCATAACAGCAGCAAAATTAGTTTGGAAGAAGCAGTGAAAATAATTTCTTGTTGCTTTCCTGCTCCAATAACCGAGTCTTTGTAGGTTACTATATTGCCCTTTTAAGTTAAACATGTCTGGATGTTTGCTACCTGGAGAGACCTGTGAATTTCACAGTCATGTCTCATTGCTACATCGTTTTGTTGGGAAACCGGTCCCTTATTTGTCAGTTGCATTCTCATTTGTGAAGGACACCAAGTCTATAAGATCATATTTGATGATACTACAGAAAGAGAATTCAGGTTCATACCCTGAGTGTGGTGCTTTGTCCTGATTGTCAACTTGATTGGATCTCAAATCAAGGAAGAGACATGCCTCTGAGATGGATGATGGAATTTCTAGGAAGCTTAGCTAAGGAGAGAATGCTCTCGATCCCCTCATAGTGGACAGCACCTTCTATTGATGGCCCAGAAATAAAGTGGTCTGAGAAGAAAGCAGTGCTGTTTGCTTGCCTGTCTTCATTTCTTGCTGGTGAGTACATTGGTCCTACCATCCTTCACTGACATCAGAACCCAGCTTCCTTGGCCTTCAGCAGCAGACTGGGAAGTGCTGAGACATTTAGCTTTGTGGATTGATTCAGCCTTAGGATTTAAATCAAAGCCATGCTCTCATCTTGAAATTACCCTCCTTAAAAGGGGGAGGGCCAGCAAGATGGCAGTTTGCAGACAACCATTGTTGGACTACCCAGTACTTACTGTGTAAGCCAGTTGAGTAAATCCCTTTTTATAATATAGTCATCCTTTTGGTTGTGTTCCTCTAGAGATCCTGACTAATATCAATAGAAGAATTATCTATGTATAGTGGCTGACCCTTGCTTTAGAGAAGGAGGCCAATGTGAGTCAGTGGTAACTAGGGAGCTGTGGTTTCTAGGAAGTGAGGCCTCTTTTGGTGATTTAGCTTTTATTCTTCACACGTTAGGTACTCAGGAGCGACAGTAGCAAGTTCAAGTAAGTGAAAGAAACTTGATGTTGTTGAGTTCATGTGTGACCCCCCATTCCTGTGTACACTCACCTGTGTACTTTGTACATGAGCCCACTGAGCAAACTGGGTGCCAGGGAAACAGCCTGGCTGACATCGCAGGATAATTTATCCTATGGGCTAGTGAGGGTCTCCTTTGCAGTGGTTGTCCTTTGATAAACATCCCATGAGACACAAATGTCTTCACACTTTGTGAAGTGTGAGAGGCACATTTATACACCTCTCCTCATGTTTCCTGTCATCAGCTTCCTGTTGTGTCCTTGTACCAGCTGGTTTTGTGTGTTAACTTGAACCAAGTTAGAGTCATCAGAGGAAGGAGCTTCAGCTGAGAAAATGTCTCCATGAGATCCAGCTGTAAGACATTTTCTTAATTGGTGATCAGTGGGAGAGGGCTTAGCCCATGGTGTGTGGTGCCATCTCTGGGCTGGTGGTCCTGAGTTCTATAAGAAAGCAGGCTGAGCAAGCCATGGGAAACAAGTCAGTAAGCAGCTCCCCTGCATGGCCATTGCATCAGCTCCTGC